TGTGAACAGATGAACTCAGTCTCTCTCTATTACCACTCAACAGACTAGTGGTTATATTGTCATAGCTGAACACACAGCTACAATAATAAACATAGGCCAACAAAATGTGAGACAGTGAGACCACAAACAAATAGTATGTGAACTGTATTTCATTAACTTATTAAATCAACATGTTCATAACTTATTAACTATAAATTGGGTAAAACAAATGTTTTGATACGATTTGATTAAAAGACTTTCCATGAACATCATTAACATCAGTGGATTAGAAGTAGTAGGCCTCGTGTGCAGGATTGGAGCATGTTAGGCCTACTTCCTTTTATACTAAATGTTTTCTAGTCAGAAGTACAGTACTCATGCAGCACTGAGTAGCTGTTTGCCTTTCAAACTTTCAAACAACTGCACCTGTTCTTGCTGAGAAATTGCTAATGGACTTGAGTAATTGTAAAGGGTGGCGTGAACACAGATTTTGGCTAAAATATGTTTCATTTTTTTCAGTAATGCCATCTAAACAATGAAACCACACATAAATAATCTATCTACAAACATTTTTCAATTTAATTGAAAGCCATTTTATGATTGGTCTGTAAATAAATTTATATATTTCTTTTTTCAGTTTTTATTCAGCCTATTGGTTATTCTACAGTATTGAATCATGCAATTCTATAGATTGGTTAAGCATAACAGCACACATGGTTGCTTATATTCTTCACATAGGCACTATATTTTGATAATTAAATGTGGATTAAATAGCGTATATCTCTCTTATCTCTTATTGAATGAATGCTTATGTACCTGACTGTATACCTTAACCTTAAAAAATAAATCATACATAATGTAGGGCTGTGATTCATTTACATTGTAACAAAATCAGACAATAAGTACGTTTTATTAAATCATTACACTGCCTCGGCATGCTGTCACATGTCTGACAGGCCACCGTGCACCACACAGAACAATGGCCGACAAATTGCACAGTTTCTGCCGTTGTTTCAACTCGACTCCCTGCCAAGAGAGACCCGCCCTTATCTGACTCCAATTGGCCCTGAACCTGACAGTATTAATCAAACCAACAATGGCAGCGAGTATTACCCAATCAGAAGTAGAAAAGGAGAAGTATTCACAGCATGATGATTTGCATGGGATGCTCCACTAAAGACAACTCTGAAATAAGGGACAAACCACGTCCCGTTTTGAATCAATACGGGACGTGGCTATTTAGTTCTCAAATATGGGTGGCAACCCTATTGGCCTACCAAGCTAAGCCACGGATGTCTAGCATGCTACAGCTGTTAGACAGCAACTAGTGCACCGCCATAACCTTCCAGGTAAAAAATTCCGTTCCACGCGTTCCTACTTCTTTATTTCATACTTGAAATACATCAATTTTGTTTGTTTGTTTTTACTGAAAAAGAAGTAGATGTGTTTAAACTGTCCTCCACTCTGGAACCCGGGTTCGAATCCGGCTATGGTGCCTGCTCTCGCCTTTCACTACAAATGGTGTCAGAAGTAGGAAGTGTGAGCAGTGTGTGTGACCATATGAGGGACCCTGGGATGGGAGAAGTACAGTTGGCGGATGTGTGACCAGACTTTTTTTTTCAATCTCACACAAACCCAAGATTTTCATAGTTGGCGACTAGTTCAAATGCCTAGGACAAGTATATTAACATTCATCTGACAAGCAAAAGTTTGTGATGCCATGTTTCAATAATACAAATATCACAATGTTAATATTGCAAAACAAAAGCCATTAGTAGGGAAGTAAGGGTTGATGACTTTGACACAGGAGACTACAGTTCATACAGTCTCCTACCAACAGTCAGAGTTGGTTTCTACCAGAGGTGGGATCAAGCCGTTGTTTTACAAGTCATAAGGAAGTCTCAAGTTTTAGCACTCAAGTCCCAAGTCCAGATCGAGTCAAGTCTCATGTCAAGACCGACAAGTCCCAAGTCAGTCTCAGGTCATAATACACTCTTCAGCAAATATAAAACATGTCATGTCTTTAACAACAGTAAAACATAAAGAAACTGTATTGAATGAAGGGTTAACTTGTACAGAAAAAAGGCAGAGGTGCATTTCATGAATTAAAATTAAATATTCATGTAGGGCTGCTCAGTTACAGTAAAAATTATCATCAAAATTATTTTGGTCAATATTGAGATCAAAATTATTCAACAAGATTACTCACTGACTTAACATAATTTATTTATTGAACATTTAAAATGTAATACATCATTAAAAAAAAACCTATTACATATGCATCACCCCAAAAAGCCCATGAAATAAGAAATAGTAATCCAACATTATTGACTTTAAGCAACATCTAGAGCGCAAGAGGACGACAGCAGCCCAGTGTTTCCCCCAAGTTGACAGCTTTGGGTGACAGATGGGTCCCTGAGGGGGCTCTGTGTGTGTGAGTGTCTGTACATGAAGTGGAGCAGAGCAGGTGATAGGTGAACTACTCGAGTTGACGGAGTTATGTTACTGAACGCTTAAGTAAAACCTTGGTGTTTTGTCGGGAGATGCAGTTACTTAAGCCAGCGGTGAGAAAATTAAAAAATCGGTTCGACCTTAGAAGACGCAGATACAGTGGTTATTTTACAAGCACCAATCAGGTAAATCAACACTAAACACACCTGGTTTAGTATATAAATAATATCTACCCATCCATATACCAGCTCATCCTTCAGCCTATACTGCAAATTTCTTAAAGAGGTGGTATTATGCTCATTTTCAGTTTGAAAATCTTAATTAGGGGTTGTACCAGAACAGGTTTACATGGTTTCATTTTCAAAAAACACTATATTTTTCTCATACTGCACATTGCTGCAGCTCCTCTTTTCACCCTGTGTGTTGTACAGTCCGCTCTTGAGCTACAGAGTGACGCATCTTACGTACAAAATCTTTGTTGGGAGTTGCATATGCGCAGATCCCAGGTAAGGACTACTAGCCAATCAGAAGCAGAGAAGGGCGGGTCGTAAGAAACAAGGTAGTGTGATCCAAATCAAAGACTGAGACCGTAACCTAGCAGATGTTACTCTCAAGTCCACAACATCATTGTTCCACATCATACCATTAGGACTACAGTTGAACTGTTGCCGGTGTTCTGATGATCTATGCTGCCTTTGCCGAAAAATGCTACCATAGCGCAAATCGATAGACTGGACCCTGCTCCGTTTTCCATTGCAGATAGTACCCAGAGATAGTACGTAGCTTGTCGTCATAGCGACGCCACACACAACTGCTGCGACATAATGTTCAATGCGACACAGACACCAGCGATCCACACAGCTTTCTCTTTTTTAAGTTAAAACGTTTCAACATTCCTCAGAATGTAAAGACAGATAAGCGGTATGAAAACCTTCCAGCTGTGTTTTCCTCTGCAGTTGTTGCTGCAGCGGTCTGTGTGACGGCGGGAGCAGAGGGCTCTGTGAGCGGGCGGCTGGCCGGCCTCACACGCTCCTCCCTCGGGTTGGCACAGGCTTCCCCCGCAGCCACTTGCAGAGCTCCTCAACTCCAAATATTCAAGCACATTTTTGTTCCGCCATCACTTCTCGTAAAACTATCAATATTCGAAATCTACACAGCGGGATTTCCAACCTCAAAACTTCTCAGAAGTGGATTCAGTGATGAAATTCCATACAAAAACTGTAAAATATAAAACTTTCTGTTGCTGGCCTCTGTCTGGTGCACGCAATGATGATGCAGTGAACAGTAATGACTCTCTCTGACCAATCAGCAGTCTGTCGTGTTTTCACGTTACATTTTAGTATCCCTCAGCTCGCTTGGAACCTGATATGAAAAAAAGTACCTGGAAGCAGGTACAGGTACAACATTTCTACAATGGAAACCCAAACAAAGGCAAGTCGAGCCAAAGGGCCTCGGCTCAGACTAGCTTGGTTTGAGGGCGTGCCTGACCCCGCTAGCTGCTTGGCAAGCTTTATGATGTTGATGATGTTTTTAAAAGTGAGTTCCGGATCTGATTGTTTCACGTGTGTCCTAAAACACACGAGCGCCATGAACACATTCCTGTCGCCAATTTCATGCTCCTCCACTGATCGATAGTTGGCAGCATTGACAAGCAAAGCAACTGTGCCAGCAAAGCAAGGGGGAAACAAAGACTGCGAGCTAAGACACATGTATGTAACCAATGATGCAGCATTTTAATATTCAAAAAAGGTCAGCATTTAAAATTTTTAACAAGGGAATATAGTTATAGTTTTGTTAGACCTGTGAGGTGGTACAAGAAAGCTCCACAGAGCACATTTAACCAGATGTTAACCAGATGTCATTGGATAATCAGAAAACATGAATATGAAATCTTTATAATTTTATCTGTATTGCTCATATGGGTATTTTCAGAGGGCACTGATAAATGGCCTATTTAGTCATTTAGGCAGTAGGAGTTGTTGTTTAGGGGCAATACACAGTATACTGTAGCCACATACAATACACACACTTATAATAGACACACACACACACACGCAGGCTGGGCTCCAGGTGCTCTTATTTCACATCTCTATATTTCAGATCAACAGTGAAGCTGCAACCATCTGCTGATAATGTTCAATGATGCAAAGATTAAGTCAGACCACCGGCAGATGCAGAGACATCGCTCATTCTCCCAGTACTGACATTTCCCATCCTGAGGCACAAAGTGCTGAGAATTAGCTGATAGTCTGGACCATTTGCTTTGCTGAAGACAGGTTTAAATCTATTATTCTGAGGTGGAGCTCAGATATGATCCACTTTTCCTTTTCTGTCTGACATCCGTCTTAGTGTGAAACTCTTGCTCCTCTGTGCACTCCACAGAGCTAAGCCACTGTCTTTTGTTAAATCCCTTCTTTAAACAAACATTCATGTTTAAAGCCCTCTTTCAAAGTGCGTTTACTCCCCCTTTGAGTTTCATCACATCTCTTTTTCCATCCTTTAGTCTTTTCTGCCCCTTGTTACAACACTCTTGTTGACTATTTATGTGCTTCAGAAACATTGTACCATTGTTTTGCAAGATACTACACAAATAAACTTTTATTATTCTTTGTGTGCTTTTGGAGGAAAAAGGCACACAAACATGTCGACTTTATAAGTCATACTGGATTGGCACTGACAGCATATTTCAAAGGCATCCTTCTCTGCAGCTGCTGAGGTAACGTTTGGATGAAGCACAAAAAAAAGATGAGAAAGAAGGATGGGGGATCACTGAAGTGTGATCTGTTACACAAACAACACCATCAGGACGAACATCGAAGCTGAAAAACAAGAAAAATACTGACAATTTTTGTCTTGGGAGATGTTCAGTGTCAAAAACATATACAGTGGATCAACCTTGACTCGCAGTCTGGTCCTATCTGTGGTAAACTACATGTTGTGATGATCATTGTGCTGGCTGTTCTCAAAGCAGTTGTTGTGTGTTTTTGATGACGGCTGCATCTAACTATTTTCATTATCGACAGATCTATTGAAAATGTTTCAAATTGCTTGTCTCGTTCTCCTAGTCCACATCTTCAGTTTGAAGTCATATAAAACAGAGAAAAGCAGTAAATCCAAACATAATGGCACAACAAGCTGGAACCAGTAAATGTTTAGTATGTATGTCAAGTCAGCAGTCATTTGTCAAAAAATTGTTTCAACCCAACAAAAACCCAGCCCAGTCCGCCTGTTATGTTTTTAACTGGATAACACAGACCTGAGCTGCACTGACTTCACAGAGAAGCCCAACACTGACTGAGTGATAATTATTCTGCAACTATTATCATTGTAATTAATTCTGATAATAAGTAGGATCAAAATTATTTTACAGTCCTGTTGCCTCTCATTTTAGCATGTCAGCTTTCTTTCACAAGAGCAGGGAAACTGAACTGGATGTTTCTGCAGACAGGCTGATGGTTTATAATGAACTAAAATCTCAAGATGCAATTAGGCACAATTATTGTTCATCAGATGTTCATATTGTAGATTTGCTGTTTGCCATCTGTGCCGAATCTCTGCCTGTGCATGTGTTTGTGTGTGTGTGTTTGTAGTGGCAGCAGAAACTTCCCGTTTTGCCTGACATAAGGAGGTTAGACTTTCTTTCAGGTGGACAGGGGAAACACTTAACAGCCCCGATGAAGAGTTTAATATGCAGGGAAAACCCTTTGGGCCCTCGAGCAAGCGCCGAGGTGCAGGCACACACAAAAAACCCCGACACACACACACACACACACACACACATTCTGCAGCTCCATCCATCTCTCTCTTTTCCCTTTCGTTTCCTCTTCTTTTATGCGCACTCACATACACACGTACACGCACGCACACTCAAACACAAGGGAGAATTGCACCGTCTCTCTTATGTACACACACACACGAATACACACACGCACACGCGCAAAAAAACTGCACAACCTCCATTTCAGGCGCACGCAAAGCGCACGGAAGCGCACAGAGCAGAGCCTACAGAGACCCACACAAACTCTGCAGCCCGCCTCTCTCTCTCTCAATCTCTCTCTCTCACACACACACACACACGCGCGCGCGCGCACGCATACAACCGCGCACGCACTCTCTCTGCACCCCCTCTTTTTCCAGCATTAGTCAATAGAGTCAGGATACATAAACCACCCACCAGTCACCCAAAGCATCTCCTAGCCAAACCCTCTCTCTCTCTTTCCCTGCAACAGCACATACACAACCTGCGGCAGCTTCACCACAACAGCAACAAAATCATCACCACAGTCCCTCAAATTCACAATCAAGCCACATGAAACATCTAGAGTTTGCTTAATAAAATAAATAAAACAGGATTCTGTGTAAACAACACCTCCATATAGCGTATCAGCATGTAAACGCAGTTCAGTGCTTCCAGCTCAAGTGATACGAAGGTGTGAAACATTCAGGACATGTGGGAGGGAGGCATATAGGGAACATTTATTTTAATAACAAGAATTACAGAAGAAAAACGGTCATTCTTTAGGTTAAATCCCATCTCAGACATTGCTGAAATAAACCCGGGCAGATTTTTGTTGAAGACAAAACCAAAAACCGCATCAAAAGTATCAAAAATCTGATCTCACCACAGAACAAACGCAGCTTCATTAGCATGCTTCTCTTCAGCAAACACGGTTCAGTTATGTTAAAACTGACCACTGTCCTGACCACTGACCACTGTCCACATTATGGCCGACGTTTAATTTTTTTTTTGGAAAAGCGGGGTTAACATAATTACAGGTATCAGAAACGAGTGCTTGCGCAGTCCAACCTGCGTTTCAGTTACATTTTAAAGGCCACAGTTGTAGGTTAGTTAATTAATCAATTATGGATTCGTACAGGTGTTAATTCGCTCCTCGTGCGGCTTTAGCCTAATCCGGATTTGAAAACCAAAGGAAAAAAAAAAACAGTCGGTGTTTGGTGTTTCTTACCTTTTCTCGGAGAGCCTCTTTCTCCGTCAAAGTGGAAAAAACAAAAATAACCGTTGCTCTCCTCCAAATTAACGATTAGTCCCCTCACCGCGGGGGTCTCGCGCACCTCACATGCGGCTGGTTTCTCACTTGATGTTCTCTATGCTCTCTGCGTGTATCTGTCTGTCTGTCTCTTCTTTTCTCGCGGGATTTCCTCCTCCGCCTTCCTCCGGTCTTCTTCTGCTCCTTCTCCTCGTTCTTGTGTTCCGCGGGATCAGCTTGTGCTCCTCGCACCACCTGGACGGAGACGGAGCGGCTCGTGGTGCTGATGATGCTTCTCCGCGCGACCCATCCTGATGTCTGCTGCTGCCGCGGGAAAGAGGAGAGGAGTGATACACTCTCTCTCTCTCTCTCTCTCTCTCTCTCTCTGTTCAGCTCTCAATCCTGAAGCTACAGGTGATGAAACATATTTTTGAAAACAGACTGGTGCTGCTGCTGCTGCAAATGCGCATCACATCGATGCGCCTCGCAGTGCGTCCTGGTTCCTGGAGCAGACATCGGTAAACCGGCAGCAGACCACTACACATTTTCTCTCTCCCCGCGTTTTCTCACAGTTTATTGTCTACTGTTAAATCAAATTGTAAAATATAGTAACAATTCAGAGGGAAATATGGTACTTTTTACTCCTCTGCATTTATTTGTAATTTTTTAGTTAGGTTACTTAGCAGATTTATAGGCTATTTTTCATACAAAACACACGTTCCGTTCACAAAATGTGAAGCCTCTTTTTTGCTTCACCAATAGCGACTACATTTCCTAAAGCAGCCTACTGTACTTAAGTACAAGTAGTACAAGTACTTGATACTTCTACTCCACAACAGCACAGGGGGAAATATTCAACTCCACTACATTTATCTGGTTATAATTAGGCTACAAGTTACTCTACACATTTAGATTTTATACACAAAACATATGCTGAGCTCAGAAAATATGGAATATGAAAATATGATGCTGATCAATTTGAATAGCATAACACTCACAGGGGCTATTTTTACGCTTTGTATGGAATTTTACTTTTGATACTTTAAGTAGATTTTCATGGTAGTATTTTATGTACTTTTCCTCAAATGGTGTTGGATTGTGGGGTTTGGGGGGCTGAGTATACAGGGCCTTCATGTGAAGAGGGCCCACAAAGATACTAGAACAAATAGACATGGACAAAGGGACACATAGAGAGTGCTTATGGAAAGGGCCCAGATTTTTGTGTGACACACCTGTTGGCTGCGAACAGTGCCAAAGACTTTCAGGTTTGTTTACCCCATCTTAAAATCTATTATCCTCAGTGAACCCTCTCAACAACACATTGCCCTGGAAACGTCATTAATGTAACAAGTCGTGAAATGCAATGAACTACTGACTCCAAAACATATATTAATAACTGTCAACCATCCGCCTAATGTGATGAGGGATAGCTTGGTCCCACGAAAGCCAACATGAACTTGGTGAGGTCTATTTTTGTAAAAATGACTCATGGATTTGATACAGTATCATTTAATATTAATGTGACTTTCTTTCTTTCTATTTAGATAATCGGCTCTCCAGACAACAAAAATACGTAACATCCTTTTATGTTTGGTGTTGTTGCACCTTTTCAAAGGTATCTATATTAAATCTCTATATTCCATTACTGACCAATGTTTAGAGACTTTCATCCATGCTTCTCTTGGTAATAAAATCTGTCAATCATTGCCAGGGGGCGGGTCCAATGTGCTGCAGGCCAGCTGGAGAGTGCGGCCTGAATGCCGAGGGGGCTTTGAAGCAAAGGTCCAGTTACACCTGCACTGAAAGTAAATGATGACCTCAAGTAGCCTACTTCATGAAAGGAAGGTTGTGGAGCAGCAGTGTCCTGGACTTTAGAGAGCCATGGGGTTGAACAGAAGTTTCAGTCTCAATGCAGATAGGACAAGGAAACAATAAAGTTTTGACAAACTGACTCTTGCTGACTCGTTTAGAAGTTGTGCATGTAAACATTAGTAATAAAGCTTTTCATTCCAAAATTATATTTTTCCTAAATGGGTACGTCATTCTTTGCAGTTCTTATCTCACTCTAAGCCTTTTGTTTTTTTCACAATGGTTAGTTGGCTATTCTCATACCTGTCCCGCAATACTGCAAATCTGAGTCCCCTTGAAAAAGTTGCCCATATTTCTTCACCTTGACAGATGAGGCGACCGTTTGGGGCAACACTGCTGAGGAGCATATCCAAAAAGAGCAGAAAGTGGGAAAAATGACTTCAGCGGTCAGTTGCGGCAACAGAACATCTATAAGTAGACAGCCTAGATAATCTGCTTTATGATAATCTGCTTTATGCTATTTAGATATAAATTTTGAACTCTCATCTTGATCTTTGAATATGAATAACAACAAACTACAGCGACATCTTTTTCTGTGAAAGTTCCAGGCACTCAAAGAAATGTTGACACCAGTGAAAGCAATGAAAAATAATTCACAGTTTGGTTCAAGTACACTTCTATTTCGCTGACTGTGTGAAGAGTTTTGACAATGTAACTTCAGTTTCGACCAATGCATGTTGAGTGAAAAAGACTGAAAACATGACTTAAACTGACTACAAACACATTTTGAACGAGAACAGGAGTCTACAGGTAGAGCCATCCTTGCTGCTCTGTGAGGGCGGTGCTTTGAGCTAAATGCTAACGTCACGCTAACACAGTATGCAATCAGGACTTCACAATGCTGGTGTCTAAATGAATTATAAGAAGTTAAATCTTTAGCAGCATGAGATCTAAAAAATGTTAAAAGGTTTGGTCAATAAACCCTAAAAAGTAATCGAGCTTAATAGAATCACTATTCCAAATACAACGTTATTGAATTCACCGTGTGTACTAATCTCGTCTGGTTGCTAAATGTCCCAAGGGGAATGAATGAATGAATATGTGACTGTGTGTGTCTGCAAGTGTGCGTGACTCTGTGTGTGTGTTTGTGTGCGAATGGGAACACGTATAATCCATCATAACGCAGACACCTGGTGCCTCTGCTATTACTCCTGCAGTGGTCTGGACTGTGTGTGTGTGTGTGTGTGTGTGTGTGTGTGTGTGTGTGGTTGTGCTTGTGTGTGCCTGCTTGTTCTGCCCAGTGTGTGGGAGTCGGTATCCATGGGACACCTGATTCAATTACAGGATCATCTTGAACAGATGAATGGAAAGGCAGAGAGGGTAGGAAAGGGTGAGCGGGCTAAGGGAGGAAAGAAGGAAGGAGCGAGGGAGCAATCATGGGAAGGAGGGTAGGAAAGAAGGACAAGCTAGAAAGGGTTATGGACAGAAAAGAGTTTGAGAGAAGCAAGGCGGAATAAAGGGGGACCAAAAAGGGAGGATAAGGGAACGGAAAAGAGAGATTAAATTAGAGAAAGAAAAAATGGAGAGTGAAGAGTGAGGAAAGAAAATAGGAACATAAGAATGGACATGGAGGAGAGAAGATAGATATATAACAGAGCAGGACAAGAGGGGAGGGGGAGGGGGGGCGCATGATATGAAGAGAGATGGATGAGAGTGGAAAGATAGAAGAGAGGAGGGAAAGAGAGTGGGTGACATTTTCCAGAACAAACCCTCGTAGAAGTGGAAGCGTTGTGACAAGTGTGTGTATGTAGCCGTGTGTGTGTGTGGAATTTGGCTCGAATGGATTAGTCTGAGCTTAACCAGTGTCTACATGCACGTCAACCCCCCCCCCCCACACACACACACACATACACACATGAACACCGTAAACCTGTGAGGTATGCTACCGTATAAGCAGAATCCAAAAAGACAACCTGCGTTTTAACAGTGAATGAGGTCAGAAGTGTGTGTGACTCCACATGTACTGACTTCTATATATCTCAGCTGTTTTTTTACTTTTTCTCAAACTTAAAAAAAAAATTATTTCTACAAAAGTTTTACGTTCAGATTTCCTTAAAGGGGCATTATGTAGTTTCCAGCGGCCACTAGCGGTGCGGTTTTAAGATTGCAACCAGGCGTGTGCTCGTACGCGTGCTCGCTTGAACTCATGAGCGAGCAGAATCCGACACACAACCGCTTTCATACAGAAAACCTGCAATAAATGCAGAAACACCAGCATGGAGGCTGTGGCTTTTCACACAGACATGTTCAGGCTGTGTTACTTCAACGTTCCCGTCTCAGAGGCAGCTCAACACCGGCGCCGTACCTTTCATTCAGCATTAGCAAAGTTGCTCGGCGTTAGATGGCGAGCTAATGTGACTTTTCTCTGTGTTTCTCCAGCAAATGTTTTTCATTTCAAAAGATTAACTGCAGGAAGTACAAAAACTTTTTTTTGCAATATTTCAAATTTATTTTCCATTGGAGTTTCTACTTTATGCGCAAATTAAAAATACCCAAGTGGAGAACCACTTGCAGAGAAATTCTTCCCCTTTCAGCAGATGAATGTGAAAACGTGTCTTATTCTGAACATACATCATTCTGCACATCAACAATACCCAAGTGAAGTAATACTAAGCAAAACACATTTCTGACTGAAGGGGGGGCTTAATAACAATGGTTATGGTTGAAATCTAAAAATATCCCGCCTCAGTATTTGTTACACTTGTGTGACCAAGTTTATACCACACAATCTGTAAGAACAAGATGGGTTTTCAGTCTAATATGAAAATCTTAACAGAGCCTGCTTCAAAATTTGCAGTGGGAGTTTAAGAAGTCAAAGAAGGGGAGCTCAGTGAGTAAAGGCTTTACTGCTGAAAGAGTTTTTGTTAAATCTAGGAACAGTTATTAAGAAAGCGCAGGGCTCTAAGCAACACTTGCCAAAAAGTCACACATAGGTTCAAAAGGAAGTTTATTGTTAACATAACCTAAATATAAACACAACAGCGCATAGAGAAGGAAGTGAAAATACACTGATAAAACAACAGAGTATTGCTTGATGCTCTGTAAATTTTAAACCCTTCTCTTAAATCTTGTAAGTACAGAACACAATCCAATAATTTTACCAGATATTCCCCATGTATGCATTCATCTTGGTAGAACTGATTTCAAGTACTGGATTTGCCACTTTGCATCGTCATGCGTCATTGAATTAGCTGATGTGATCCTTCATCTCCCCCTGCTGGTTAATTTGTGCTGTACATCACAGAAACATCATCTTCCACGTCTTCTTCTGGTGCTAAAATGTTCCATCTTCAATTTACCCTTTTAAACTCTCTCCTTTTGCTCCTGTTCCTTTTGGATATCAACATAATGTTTTTGTTCCATTTCCACAT